CCTTGTTACTGCCTTGGCTCCTGTTGCGTGCCTCTTCTTCACCTGCTGAGCCTTCCACATTACTCTTCAGCTGGTTTCCTGAGAAACAGCGTGAGGAGGAGACGACCTCATTGGCCTTAACTGGGCCAGGGCGTCTTCCTGCCTTGGGCTTTCTAGCCTTGGACATTTGGTGGGCGGGAAGCTGCCCCTTGCATCCACCCCTTTCCCACCATCCTGAGGCCCAGCCTGCTGGCCTGTGCAGTTTCCTAGAATCTTTCTCAAGGAGGACCAGGACCTCCCTGCCCACACTGAACTTATTTCTTGGCTTGCTTGTGCCAGTTTTCTCAAGGTGCTGGCATTCCCGAGAGGCTTGCACTTGGGGGCATTGTTGTGTCGTTGTCTTCCTGGCCTAGCCTTGCTGGGTAAGTAGTTGGGGAGGGCGGGAGGGGGCCATTTAGACCCCCGACCTCAGGCTTTCTCATGGGTCTGCGTAAGAAAGCCATAGCATGGCCCCTACAGGGTCAGCATTTGAAAACTTACTGCCGTTTGTCAGCCATCCTCCTAAGCACTTCAGATACATCATCTACATCCTTTCTTCACACAACTCTGTGAAATGAACACCCCATTTTCAGATGAGAAAACTGAGGCACCAAAAGAGGAATCTTCAAGGTCACTCAGGGAAGTGAAGGAGTTAGGATCTGACTTTCAACATTCCTGCTCAAGCCTCTACTTTTAATTGTATTGGTTGTGCTCTGTAAAGGGCTTAGTACAGTACCTGGCCCCAGGTAGATGCTCAGTACCTGTTAGCTGTTACCCTATCACCAAGTAGGGTGTGTTTCTGAGCATCACTGGGGAGGGGAGAGCCTGCTACTCAAAGTGTTGGCTTTTATCATTTTTATAAGCTAATTTTAGTGCATAGTTATAGCTTTTAAGGCAGAGTTGGCTCCTCCTTTTTTTGCCAGTTGTTTAAGGATGGGATTTGGGGGGGCTTGCGTGCTGAACGAGAGGGTGGAGAACATTTCAGCTCTCTGTTTCCCTGCCCTTCCTTATTAGCTCATTTGCATCACTTCTACAGTCCCAGCCCTGCCACACTGCCTTGGGGTTAGGGGTGTCTCCAGTTTCTAGCAAATGCCAAAGGGCTTGTTACAGCAGAGTCTGGAATTGAGAATGGTGTTCCTGAGTCTGACCAAGTGGCTTTAGGCACCCAGTTCTCCCCCGCCCAGAAGAGGGGCGGAGAAGCTGGAGCAGCCAGCTCCGATTTGCCCAAAGGATGCTTCCATCCAGTGCAGGCAGGAGTTGCCATGGCAACACGGGCTGGCTACCGGGCTCTCTCCTAGCAGTTCGGGGCACATCTCTGGGCTGCGAAGTCCTTCTCGGCACCTTTCTCTTCTGCTCCGGAATCTGGTGGGTGGGATGGCATGGTGGCTGGGCTCCACAATCTAGTACAAAGCCCACTCCCCTTGTTTTTTGGACAGAGGGGAGTTGAGGGGTTTGTCTGAGTTACTGCTCCTTGCTCCTAGGTTGTGGGGTGGAGATGCCCATATCTTGCCAGACAGATCCAGGCAGGCAGGGGGAATCAGAACTCCACTTATGTCACCACCCCCAGCCACCTGGAATGACCACACTGGAAATCTCTCCCCATCCAACCCCATTTTACCCCATTTAGCTGAGTTTTCATTCCCAGGCAGACGCTAACTTTTGTCCTTGAGATATGACCTGAGCTCTTTCTGAGACAAAATGTCCTACTGTTCTACCCCTTCTCCCAGCGATGGTGGGAACAGGGAGCTTCAGCCCTGGGGGAAGGAGGGGTCTGGGGCTGTGTGGGGAAGGAGGAGGATGAGAGGGGAGGCCCTACAACATCCTTTGGGATCAGGGCCTCTTGAGGGTGTGAGGCTGAGATTTTGACTCCGACCCTGTAACCCCCCCCCACCTCCCCAATTTTCCACCAAGTGCAGCTGAGCTTGTGGACCCAAACGATTTTATCTTAATGAAATTATCCTGTGAGAAGTCGTTCAGAAAAATTTGGCGTATGGGGATCGGCCCTCCCCATCGCACAAAGCACTGGCCTCCGGGTCTGCTCTGACATGCTTAAAGCTTTTCCCTCAAGTTATCTTTTCCGCACGCACCCCGTTTCCCTGTCCCCGAGGGGCCAAACTCATGGCTCTAACTTCCTGGCAAATGGTTCTGTTTGGGGTGGAGAGGAAGGAGGGGTCCATCTCCCTTGTTTCC